ATCGGTCCTGAGCCTCCCCTCCGTCGACAAGGTGTATACACATCTGCATTGGGGACACAAAGGCGGCTGGGTGTGGTTCTGGCCTTCATAGGTATTCCCAAACAGAAGTTGCTATAACAGTGGCTCCGTCTGTGATGGGGGATCTTCGGCTTTGTTCTTGTTTCCGCGCCTGTGAGAGAGAGAAGAGCATGCCTCGCCAAACGGTGCTCGCCAACAGGAGCTCGCTAACAGGCGCTAGGAGCTCGCTAACAGGAGCTCGCTAACAGGAGGTCGCTAACAGGGCTCGCTAACAGGAGGTCGCTAACAGGAGGTCGCTAACAGGAGCTCGCTAACAGGAGGTCGCCAACAGGTGCTCGCTAACAGGAGCTCGCTAACAGGGCTCGCTCACGACGTCAATGACCCCCCCGCCCCGCCCCCTTGTTAATGGACGGCGTCGCGCCCACCCCGATTGCCGCTCGCTGCTCGTGCCTGCCGCCTGCACCCCCCTCCCCCTGGTCGCCTTCGCCTTGGTGACGGGCATCCTGTCCTGCCACCCCCCCCCCCTCTGTCCCTGCTCGTTGCTGCCCCTCTCGTGTCTTCACTGGGCGCAGTCGACCCTCACCTGGCGATGCCATCCCTCCCGTGACCCCCTCTCCTCCGCCGGTTGTGACCCCTCCTCCCGTGACCCCCTCTCCTCCACCGGTTGTGACCCCTCCTCCCATGACCCCCTCTCCTCCACCGGTTGTGACCCCTCCTCCCGTGACCCCCTCTCCTCCACCGGTTGTGACCCCTCCTCCCGTGACCCCCTCTCCTCCACCGGTTGTGACCCCTCCTCCCGTGACCCCTCTCCTCCACCGGTTGTGACCCCTCCTCCCGTGTCCCCTCCGGGCAGGTCTGGTTCCAGAACCGCCGCGCCAAGTGGAAGAAGCGCAAGAAGACGACAACGTGTTCCGCACCCCGGGCGCGCTGCTGCCGCCCGCGGGCCTGCCGCAGTTCCCTCCCTCCATGGCCGACTCGCTGTGCTCCTTCCACGCGGGGGACGCGCGCTGGGGCGCCGCCATGTCCGGCGTCTCGTCGCTGCCGCTGCCGCCGTCTCTGGGCCGCCAGCCCCAGATGGGCAATCCCTGTCGCAGTGCAGTCTGGGCGGGGGCCCCAACCACATGGGGCTGTCGAACGGCGGCGGGCTGCAGTCGCACCTGTACCAGCCCTCGTTCCCCGGGATGGTCTCCACGTCGCTGTCGGGGCCGCCGCAAGTGGTGAGCACCGTCCCCACGGGCTCCCCGCAGCTCTGCGGCTCTCCCGAGGTCGGGGACATGTGGCGGGGCACGAGCATCGCCTCCTTGCGCCGCAAGGCCCTGGAGCACACGGTCTCCATGAGCTTCGCCTAGCAGAAGGGGGGGGGGTAGGGGACGGGGGGTAAGGGGTGGAGGGTAAGAAACTGGGGGTGGGGGGGGGCATTGGGGGATCGGTGCCGGACCCCAGGGGACCGCGTTGGGGCCAGGTAGGAAGGAGTCGGACCTCGTCCGGTTCGGAGCCAGGTGGGTCGCCTCGGCCCCCATGGGCTCCAGCCGCCTCTGACCGACTGACGGGGCCCGGGGGGTTCCGTGGCGCCGGCGCGAGGGGAGCGCTGGTCCTCCTGGCACACGAGGGGGGTCCCTGTGGCGTCTCCGTGGATGGCGTCCTTCAGGGATCTCTGTGGGTCTCGATGGTTTCTCTACAGGTCTCCATGGCGTCTTTACGGGGGTTCTGTAGGTCTCCATGGGCCCTGGTGTGCCCTCCGCAGGGTCTCTATCGAGGTCCGGCGGAGTCCATTCTGGGTCCCGACGAGTCTCTGTGGGATCTCTATGAGGTGTCTGTCTGTGGGATCTCTATGGGGTGTCTGTCTGTGGGATCTCTATGGGGGTCTGTCTGTGGGGTCCCGGTGGGGTCCCGGTGGGATCTCTATGGGGTCCCGACGGACTCTCTGTGGAGTCTTTATGGGGTCTCAGTGGAGTCTTTATGGGGTCCCGGTGGGGTCCGAACGGGGTCCCGCTGGGGTCTGCAGGGGTCTCAGTGGGGTCTGCAGGGGTCTCAGTGGGGTCTGCAGGGGTCTCGGGGGAGCGCCCTTTGTACATATGCGGCCGCGCGCCGCCCGTGCTCGTGAGTGTCTGTACCCCGTGTCCATCCCGTGTCGTGTTTTGCTCTTTCACCGTCCCGTGCTTGACCGTATGAAACTACAGTATATAGGCCTACATTATATATACAGTCTATATGACCCCGAGAGGGCGAGGGGTCACGGAGCGACGCGGGGTCTCTCGATGGGCGCGCGACGGCTCCTCGTCCCCCGCCACCCGCGAGACGTCGAACGAGGAGGCACCTGGTGGCTGACTGGAGGGGTTTGTTCACGAACGCGTTCATCGGTTGATTGATTTAGCGACTCCGCTGTTCGTTTTGTACCCGGAGCCGCGGGGCCGCGCTTTGAATTAAAGTGACCGAACGAGTCCGTGTCCGTGTCCATCCGCGTCGCGACACAAAAACAATGTCACACAGTGACACACCAGCAGTGACACACCAGCAGTGATACACCAGCAGTGACACACCAGCAGTGTCACACCAGCAGTGATACACCAGCAGTGACACACCAGCAGTGACACACCAGCAGTGATACACCAGCAGTGACCACCAGCAGTGTCACACCAGCAGTGATACACCAGCAGTGACACACCAACAGTGTCACACCAGCAGTGACACACCAGCAGTGACACACAGTGATACACCAGCAGTGACACAGACTGACACATCAGCAGTGACACACCAACAGTGTCACACCAGCAGTGCACACCAGCAGTGTCACACCAGCAGTGACACACCAGCAGTGACACACCAGCAGTGACACACCAGCAATGTCACCCCAACAGTGTCACACCAGCAGTGACACACCAGCAGTGATACACCAACAGTGTCACACCAGC